CAAATTGCAGGAAAAATACCATGGAAGATGTGTTAAATGCCTTATTAGTTTCTTCCGACCCTTTGATAACATTATTGGCAACTTCTTCTAAAAAAAACAATTATTATGAATGATGATGTTAAGAGTTTGCTTCTAATATAGCATCTGGATATGCCTCTCTCTGATTCCGATGATTCCAAATAACATTCTAGCCTTACAAAAAAAAAAATTTTATGTTTTTTCTGATCAGTGAAAAAAAGACCGACTGAACCGATCTATTTTAGCTTAGAAGTTATTAATTAAATGTCGCTAGTAGCGAGACCAAATCGCTGCGAACGGCTCATTTATTTTTTTTGTTTCGATGATACGTTATAAAATAATTGATCTGACATTACCCGTATCGTGTGAAAAAATTCCATTCCCCCCTTAAGGACTGTATACGAAATAATAAATCGTGCAGCATTCCGACTCTGGAGGCCTACTAGAAGAGCTTACCGAACGGGATCATTCAAAAACAAGAAAGGAAAGCTAACTTCGGGTGGAGCCGAAGTTTAAATACCCTTGCAGAATATTCTGAAAATTATATTCTCCAAAATTATTCATATGATGCATTCTTAATACTCATAAAAAATCCCACCTTCCTAACTTTAAAAACACCAAAGTTATGGCATTTCCAATCGTTCAGTTATATGGCAGCTACAGGATATAGTCGGCCGATCCTTATGAAATTTGATATGTCGAATTGATTGGGTAAAAATAAAACCAATAGAAAATCCCAACTTTCTAACTTAACCCTCTAGTGCCCAAATTTTCTTTTCCAAAAAAAAAATTATTTTTGGATTCATTATGTATCAAAAGTGAATGTTTGTTTTAGAAAAACTTTTACTTTTGCATGGATCGAGTTGTATAGGACTATATCCTTGGACCGCCTAGAGGCGGCTTTGGGAAGCTAGGCCAACAAAAATTAGGTAATCAATTCTTTTGTTTACACGTTTTATTATAAATTACTTAAAGAAAGGCTCCAAAAACAAATAAAACAACAATTAAAACTAAAGTTACTTAAATTCACAAAGCTTCAAATATTTGGGTAAAAAAAGTTTGATTACTTATTTGTGATGATGTTTATATTACATTTGCGGCAGACAATTTGAGTTTCCGATGTACAACCAGGAAGCTTACAGGTTTTTTTTGTCAGCGCGTGATAAAAACATTGGAAAATGCTCGACTTTATCATAGCGTACATCATTAATCGGAAGGAAAGTTTTCTTCCCTGTGCATTTATTTTCCTTTCCATCAACTTGTCGCGGGCGCCCGGGTCCTTTTGGCAGATAAGGAGTTTGTAGCATGCAAAGCACATTTGCAACCTCTGAACGGAAGTTTGGCAATTGGTATTTTGTGTTATTAGCGTCCGGATGGTTTTTTCGGTGGAACAAAACTTTCTCAATCGCTTCTTCATCTTCCTCATTGACAGGACGCGCTGCCTCGCAAACATCATCAGTCAAATCTTCCTCCAATTCTTCTTCTCCGCCCGTATCAATGTCAATATCAATTGAATTTAAAAATTTTTCAATCTCCACGTCGGAAAGTGCTGATAGCTTATTCACTTGTCGTCGCTCCATGTCTACTGAAGCAATTATTTGTACTTAAATATGTCATAGGTTGTTCTACTTTCAAACTTACCTTATAATTTTTTTTCCCGAATTGTCCCAAGACCGCCTCTAGACGGGATACCTTATAAAAGCTATAGAAAGCTAACGAAATCTTATTTTTAGTGTGGGTTTCGTTTTTTGAGTCCTTGAGACTATCAGCAACATGGTACAATTTTTTTTCCAGCAACAAACTTTTTATAATATTTTAAAAAATATTTATATTTTGCACTTAATTTGCAAATAATTATTTCGTCCGAGTTGCACAAATTTTCTGCTTCAAATGACTACAGCAGCTTGCGCAAGCTCTAGTATGTATTCCAAACGCAACGAACTTAATTTTTGGACTTCCCCGAATTAGAAAAAACGCAAAACCGAGTCAAAAGGAATGAAAAGACTAAAATAACGGTGTTTTTAACCTTACCCGTCTGGAGGCGGTCTTGGGCACTAGAGGGTTAACAAACACCAAAGTTATGGCATTTCCGATCAATCAGTTATATGGCAGCTATAAGATATAGTCGGCCGATCCTTATGAAATTTGGTAGGTCGGATTAATTGGCCAAATATAAAACCCATAGAAAATCCCAACTTCCTAACTTTACAAACACCAAAGTTATGGCATTTCCGATCAATCAGTTATATAGCAGCTATAGGATATAGTCGGCCGATCCTGATGAAATTTGGTACGTCGGATTGATTGGCCAAATATAAAACCCATAGAAAGTCCCAACTTCCTAACTTAACAAATAGCAGAGTTATGGCATTTCCGATCAATCAGTTATATGGCAGCTATAGGATATAGTCGGCCGATCCCGGCCGTTCCGACTTATATACTGCGTGCAAAGGAAAGAAGGGTGTGTGCAAAGTTTGAATTCGATATCTTTAAAACTGAGAGACTAGTTCGCGTAGAAACAGACAGACGGACAGACAGACGGACAGACAGACGGACATGGCTATATCAACTCAGGAGGTGATCCTGATCAAGAATATATATACTTTATAGGGTCGGAGATGTCTCCTTCACTGCGTTGCACACTTTTGACCAAAATTATAATACCCTCTGCAAGGGTATAACAAGAAAGGAAGCAAACTTCGGCAAGCCGAAGTTTATATACCCTTGCAATTATTACAAATCGACCAAATTTCGATTTCTATGCCTATATTACTAAAAACAAGAAAGGAAAGCTAACTTCGGGCGGAGCCGAAGTTGATATACCCTTGCAGAATATTCTGTAATTTATATTGGTTGGTCAAAAATAAAACCCATAAAATATCCCAATTCCTAACTTTAAAACAAGAGAGAACGCTATAGTCGAGTGGCTCGACTATTAGATACCCGTTACTCAGCTAAACAACTTAATATAAATATGCCTTCTTGTATGTTTTTTGCCGCTCGAATTAGCACCTTGGCCAGCTGTTCCAAAGTCATCCGTTAGATGGCTCTACCGTGGTACCACGGGCCATGAAAGGCGGAAATGTAGACGGTAGCCAGGTTTAAGCGTTTAATGGGGTTTTGGGCGTTATGGTGGGCGTGGCAAACTTTTATTAGGCCAATCGATAGGTATTGACGAAACAAATACATATCAATTAAAATTATCATAACAGCATCAAAACTGTGGCCACTGCTTGTGGCTTGTGGGCGTCAGATGGGGCGTGGCACCATTTTGAAACAAACTTGCGCTGCGTAGGAACTCCTAAAATCTACATGCAAAATGCCAATATTCTAGCTTTTATAGTTTCCGAGATCTCAGCGTTCATACGGACAGACGGACAGACATGGCTAGATCGACTCGGCTAGTGATCCTGAACAAGAATATATATACTTTATAGGGTCGGAAACGCTTCCTTCTACCTGTTACATACTTTTGCACGAATACAATATACCCTTTTACTCTACGAGTAACGGGTATAAACACCAAAGTTATGGCAGTTCCAATCGTTTAGTTATATGGCAGCTATAGGATATAGTCGGCCGATCCTTATGAAATTTGATAGGTCGAATTGATTGGCCAAATATAAAACCAATAAAAACACCAACGTTCGATCAATCAGTTATATGGCGGCTATAGGACATAGTCGAGCGATCCCGGCCGTTCTGACTTATATACTGCGTGCAAAGGAACGAAGGGTGTGTGCAAAGATTCAAATCGATATCTTTAAAACTAAGAGACTAGTTTGCGTAGAAACGGAAGGATGAACAGACAGACAGTCGGACATGGCTAGATCGACTCTCCTAGTGATGCTGATCAAGAATATATATACTTTGTAGGGTCGGAGATGTCTCCTTCACTGCGTTGCACACTTTTGACCAAAATTAGAATACCCTCTGCAAGGGTATAACAATGAAGCTATGTCGAATTTGCGCTGCATTTTGTTTTCGTTTCTATGGCAGCTATATGATATCAATAATATTTAAATAAAACCAAATCCCAAATAACAAAAAAAAATAATTAAAAACAACAGTTATAATTTTTTAAAATTTGTTACCGATTGTTCCTATGGGAGCTATATGATATAGTCGCCCGATCCGGATCGTTCCGACTTATATACTACATTAGAAAGACAACTTTTGGGAAAGTTTCAATCAGATAGCTTTAAAACTGAGGGACTAGTTTGCGTAGAAACGGGCAAACGGACATGGCTGGATCGACTCTCCTGGTGATGCTGATCAAGAATATACTTTATAGGGTCGGAAATGTTTCCTTCACTGCGTTGCAAACTTTTGATTGAAATTATAATACCCTCTGCAAGGGTATTAATTTTAGTTTATTTAATTTTTGATTTGTTAACTCTCATCCAAGTAAACTGCAGTATAAGCTATGTATATCAAGATGATGATTCCAAGCATAAATCGTTGCTTTGCAGGATCTGGCTGCTGTATAACTGCTCAAAAGTTATTGATACCTCTGCCCAGAGTCTAGATCTGAACCATATAGAACATTTGTGGGCTTTATTAAATTTTTAAGTTTTAAAGTCATCAATTGTTATTAACCTTGTGCTTGCATTTTGCAAACAATTAATTGACATCGAAATGTGGGTTCTTTTTTATTTTTTACGTTTTTTGTCATGATTTTTGCTAAAATACGTTTTTTTATGAATAATTATAGCTAATGCCTGCTATAACATTGTCATAAATGAAAAAAATCTGGTTTATGTTAATAACAAACTGACAAACTGTGTATTCTCTTGGTTGGGACAGGGCAGCAGAGGTCTGGATCGTATGTTGCTTTTAGTCCGTCAATTCATATTATTGATATCTGGGTCGCATGTACTACAAACTTTCTTGATATTTAACATTGGAAAATTCATTAAATCCATAGCATAAACACAGCAATATACAAGTGCATATGCAGGTCAAAGGTAAAGTGTACTTACACAACCATGCCATAAGCTCCTTCGCCGATATAGGCTAGATTAGTATATCTGGGACCAACTTCGAAAATTTGTCCTCTTATTACTTCAGCATTAGAAGGAGAAACCTCTATAGACACGGTATCTACTCCTGATCCATTCGCATTCGATTCCTCCATTTTTAACATTGGCTTTTCTGAAATAATTTTCAACTACAAAATTATTTAATTTTATGATTTAAAAGCGCCTATTGAATTAATATTGTGTATGCATAAGCCACGTCAGGGCAACACCCATTCTTAAAATTGAATTTTAATGGACGTTATATTTTAAAAATTAACACAAATTAAAAAGACTTGACTTTATTAATAAATTCTTTTCTTAACAGATGCAAATTAACATGAGATTAGTAAACTTTTTTTTTTAATTTTCTATTTACTTACATTTAAGCTGGGTAAATTATCTCTATTATTAAACTGCCGATTTATAAATCATCGAATTTATGTCAAGTTAACGCCAGTGACTCCATGGCGACTAGGATTGCTCCACTGTGCAACTAGCTATCCGCGTCTTATGTTATACGCTATTCTTACAAAGCGCAATGTCCTGTAATGCCGCCATTCCACAGAGATCCATCTACCATCCGTTGAACGGATGGTCCATAAGGTTTTGCCAGTCCGAAAATTCCCAGTTTTTATGCGATGGTTAGGTGATGTTATTTGGTGCAACTCTGAGTCTTCTTCTTGACAGTGGAAATTGGAACATTCACTACGAAAATTAAAAAAAATAATGGCGGGTAACTTTTGAAAAGGGAAAGCATCAATTCAAAAATTGTTGTTTATACTTGTAATAATTAATTAATTACTGCTCCATCCGTGTGGCAGCATACCGTACTCACAACATGGAGCAGAAAGTTTAAAATGAAATAAAATATGAAATTATAATAAAACAATAAACAAACATTTATATATAATGAACTTGATTTGTTACCATTTAGACAATATTGGGCAATAGCTGTTCATATTTTGTCTGCAGGCTGGCAAAAGTCTGCAGACGTATTAGTTCGATTTGGTTGTTCACGTAGATCACTTGCAGTCTGTTACCAAGTATCATTTATAACGCTGTTGTGCTCATTTTAAATGTTGTGCAAATTGCAACGGGCTGAAATGATGAGCCACAGCTGTTCAGATCAGCTGTTATCGGATGGTGGATGTGCTCTGTGGGCATCGGAGTTTCACATTTGTCAAAAATCCCAACCGTTTCATACGGATGGACTCTATGGGAAGAGGCCATTAGGCGATATTTTTTCGCTGCAACAGTGAGTTCTTCTTCTTGACAGTGAAAATTGAAACGTTCACTACGAAAACATTATCAATAAGGAACTTTTGAAAATGGAAGGCGCGAAATCAATAAATGCTGTTTATTTATGTTGTAAATAATTGTTTTCAATTTTAAAGTTGATAATACATTACATGAAGGTTTCCCAATGCCTAATGGAAGTTGGGTTTGATGTGTGTGTAAGTACAAGTAACTTATATACGTGCAACAATATATTAGCAAGCCATCCCACAATATTTTAAAAAAATGGGGCCTTCTCTGCATCCCCTGCAAGGCGCGCAAAGGTGGACCACAAGGATGAGCTTGTGGAAATAGCGCCCTAGAAGGGCTGGAGAATAATCGAGCGCAGGCCGAGAACATGTCATTGAAATGAGCTTGTCTGTCTGGCATCCTTGACATTAAAAGTAAAATGAATTATGAATTTATAATAAAACAAAGAAAACACATAATATTAATGAACTTGATTTGTTACCATTTAGACAATGTTGGGCAATAGCTGTTCTTATTTTTCTGCAGGCTGGCACAAATCAGCAGACATAGAAGTTCGATTTGGTTATTCGCGTAGATCACTTGCAGTCCTTTACCAAATTTCAGTTATAGCACTGTTGAGCTCATTTTAAAAGTTGTGAAAAATGCAAAAAAACAAGAATGATTTGCCACAGCTATTCAGATCAGCTGTTATCGGATGTGGATGTGCTCTGTGGGAATCGGAGTTTCACATTTGTCAAAAATTCCAACCGTTTCGAGCGGATGCACTCTATGTGAAGAGGGTATAATGTATAAGCCTTTCCCGAGTCAAATATTCTTCTGTGAACCCAATGCACCCTTAAATCCTTGGCACTCACAATGAAAATTTAAAAGTTCAGCCTAGTACTCAGATCGACAAAAATTGTTCGTCAGTCATGAGAGAGAGCGAGTGGCAAACAGGTGGCGTACACTTTTCGTCAGGCTTTTTTTTCACCTTGGTACTCAGATCGACGAAAAAATACCAGAAAATGACATCGCGTTGCCAACCACCAGAAACGAACTTTTGGTGAGCCCTAGCGAAAAGAATAAAAAAATTGAATCTTTTGGCGTGCGTGGAGGGAAAAAATCAAAAAACCCGCGAAAGTCGATTGCAGGAGCTTAGTTGTGAGGACAAAATAACATTAATACGATCTGTGGAGTCCCTTCCAGAATTGTGGGATTTGTCAAATAAAAAACATTTTAATGCAATCATTATAAAAAGAGCGTGGGAGGAAATAGCCTGGGAAATGGATAATGATAATAAGTCATAATTGTACATTATTAAATATTTGTTAACGTGGACATATACAATATTTATGTTTAGATAATTGTTGCAAGCTGGCGTGGAAGTCAAATGCAAGCGACCGAAGAGTGGAAGTGCTGGAGGAGTCCCACTGGAAAAGCCAACGGGTGATAATCTTTTGGGTTGCCTCTTGTCAAAAAAAAGTGTTTCTTAGGTAAAAAATGTTCGAAATAACAAAGCAAACGCGACCTAAGGTGAGTCGCACTCGGGTTTTACCTGCTTTGAATAGGTTTAGTATAGGAATCTAGTGATGTGCAAAAATAAAAGTAGTGATACGTTAGCTAGGACATTTTTGGAATATTGTTCGGCAACATTCCTAAATTCCAACATTTTGCTGTTTAAATCGAAATTGAGAATGACGTTCAAAATAAGGCTGATCGATAGCAATAAATCTTTTTGCTACGCACATGTAAAATCGTCTTCCCAAAGCGATCTATCCACCATCCCTTGAACGAATTCGAATTCGAATTTTTATGCGATAGTTAGGCGATGTTTTTTCGGTGCAACTCTGAATTCTTCTTTTAATTAAAAACAACAATGTTATACTTAAAATTTTTTTTTCTATTGTTCCTATGGGATATATAGAAAGATAACTTTTGGGAAAGTTTCAAGCAGACAGCTTTAAAACTGAGGGACGGACAGACAGACGGACATGGCTAGATCGACTCTCCTGGGGATACTGATAAAGAATATAAAGTATTATCATTTCAGTTAAAAGTTTGTAACGCAGTGAAGGAGAGATTTCCGACCCTATAAAGAATATATATTCTTATTGTGAGAATTTATATATAGTGTCAATATTTTTCAAGTATTTTCCTCTATGTTTGCCACATCGGATGGTGCGGAACTAAGCTTGGCCCATTTTTGGTTCCATTCCCAAAAATCCCGTCGGTTCGCTTTCCGATTATTAAATAATACTTTCTCTTACAAACTAATGATCATAATAATTTTAAACTCATATAACTATTACCTATACCTATTGAGGCAACCCAGCCGTCGGGCAGGATCGTCACAGACCCCCCCTTTCCTACCGGGGCTGATGATGAGACGTTCGTCAATCTTCATTGTGACGACGTAGTGCCAATCTCCTTCCTTGACGGTGAAGTTAATGCGGAGTCCTCATCCGGTTTGTTCAACCGCCCCCTCGGTGATCAGACGAATTACCGATTGTGGCAGTAGTCGTAGTTCGCCTGTCCCAGTCCAGCCTTCTGGTAACGGACGTAACTCATCCAGAGATACCATCTGGGTCGCGTCTTCTCCTACTAATGTGGACGAGGTCAATTCCTCCACGAATGACCATTCCCAACCGGTTCCCTGAATCTCGGTTAAGACCTGATCGAGGACCACATTCTCTCACTCGGTCGGCGGCGCGTCTAGCGGGGTGCAGATCGGGGATTGACGCCGATTGAGCCGTAACATCATTCTCCTCGCGAGGGAAAAGGGGACGATCTTCTCCCCATCCTCGCTATCGGTCGCCAACTTCGTAAAGCATTTGAAAAGGTGGGCCTCAGGGTGTGAATTCACGCGGAAACGTTTAGGGTCTGGTCGAGCGATCGCATCGGGGAAGTGGCAGAGTGATGACGTAGAGGCCTGGGTAGCGATCGGACGCGTCTGGGTTGCCTGTGCTCAGGTCTTTTTCAGCGATCGCTGCAGTCCAAGCGGGGATGTCTGGGCCGCCTGGACACGAGCCTTCCTCGGCGAGTGTTGTAGGCGAGTCGGGGACGTCTGGACTGACTAGACTCGGGTCTTCCTCGGCGAGCGTTGCAGGCAAGTCGGGGACGTCTGGACAGACTGCGCACGGGTCTTCTTCGGCGAGCGTAGGCGAGTCGGGGATGTCTGGATATCTGCTTTTAAACGGAACGTCGCGTCCCATCCCAACGCGGGGCTGGCGGTGGTGACAGAGGTTCGTACACGTGAGGACCTTCGGTGCGTATGCATGGTGCTTTGAATACGACCGACTTGACTTCGATGCGCATCGAGACATGTCCTTTCCAACGACTGACTTGGTCTTCGACCGTACGGTGATAGGTGTGTTCGATGGAAGGGCGTTGGCCGGACTAAGTGTATCTTGGGTGACCGGCTTGAGGAAGACTCCGCGCCGTCCGCGCCGTCCGCGCCGTCCCAGGAACTTTGGCCCCCTCGGTGAGTTGGGTTATCATCGTCTTGACAGTTCGATTTGTCCCCTCGGTAGGGTTCTCCTAGTATGGTGCAGTATATAGGACCTCAACCTCCAGCGCATGGAAGTACTTTCTCAAAATGCGACTGGTAAATTGAGTACCATTATCGCAGACGAACTTCCGAGGGATGCCGACTCGACCTAGTATACGATCTCAAAAAGCCTTCTGGATTTGAGAGGCGGTAGCTTGAAAAATATGTCGTGAAATACGAGGAGCATGGTGTTTCCGTGTTTCGATCGGGGTAGCGGGCCGACAAAGTCCGCGCATAATATGTCGAACGATTCGTTTGTTACGCGGGGTAACATTTTGCCCGCCGCTTTCGTCTGGGCGTTTTTAAACTTCAGACAAAGATGTCGGGCCAGAAATACCTCTGGAACAGTCGAGAAACGGTCTTTCGGACTTTCTCTTTCTTTTCTTGAAGGACTCGGACTCGACTTGGACTAGGGACGCACAGTTTCCACGGGAAGTAGTCCTCGTCATCAGCTCTGTGTCCTAGATTCCGGTAGACTTGTCCGTTTACCGCTACGTAATCTGAGAATTTCTCAGGGTATTCTCTTATCTTAACTTGCATCCCTTGGATACATTTACATCTGTTGCAGAACTTCACAGGGTTGTCGGGATAACGCGTCCGCCACCACGTTCAATTTGCCTCGTTGTAACTCCAGCGCCCATCTTGCTACCCGACCAGAGGGGCTTTCGATGGAGTTCAACCACTTGAGGGCTAGGTGATCG